GGCCTGACTCACCAAGCCCGGGGCCCCTCTTGGACTCTGCTCTGCTAGTGAGAGTCACATCCACCACGGTGGCGAGCCAGGGCTCTCCCTCCTCCAAGCGGGCGACCACACGGGGCCCGGCAGGCCCAAACCCTAGGAGAAAAGGCAAAGAAGGTCAGCCCACACTGAGGTAACCCGCGTTCCCACGTGGGTCCACTGGAAGCCCACGTCATCGTGGTGGCCAGCAATGACTGAGGACACTCTATGAAGCAAAATTGACACTGGAGTAAGGAAGAGGCAGTAATGGTGGGACACTTCCATTTCCAATGCTCATAACATAAAGCCAACAAGGGTACAGCACACTTCAACTGGGGTGCAGGCCAGAGGCAGGGGTGAGAGGACGCCCCAGAGACAGGGTGGGGAGCAGCACAGGCGGATCCACTGAGACGCGCTGCTGAGGGGCAGCGGGGACACAGGAGGGGTCTGCTGCGCCCTGGGGTCCCTCCCTGGCCGGGGTCTGAGCTCAGGCTACAGCAGCGACAGCGCTGAGACGTAACCCCGAGGCACCAGGGAGGGCCTGAAGAAACACAGAACTCAGTGAGATGGAACAGACACCTAAAAACTCACCTCGGCCTGCCCGGTGGCACAGGGGCTAAGGCACAGCGCTATGAAGCTGCCTGCGGCCGCTGCAACACTTGCGTGCGATCCCTGGCCGGGGAGTGACCCACAGACACAGGAGACCGCTCCTGTCCCCCGCTGCCCCTCAGCAGCGGGTCTCAGTGGGTCCGCCTGTGCTGCTCCCTGCTGTCTCTGGGGCGTCCTCTCACCCCTGCCTCTGGTCTGCTCTTGTGTGCAGAAACAAATCTTGAAAAATAATAAAAAACAAAAAGTCACCTAAAGACAATAGAATCCATATCTCTTCACATTCGCAAGTGAACACAAGACACGCTCAGCCCCTGGCTAGGACGCACGGCGATCCCCCGCGGGCGTCAGAGGACTGAAATCCCGGCGCATCTTCTGTGACTACAAACAAGTGGGTAGAAGTCGCCAGAAAGAAGACTTCTGAATTCGAGGGGTGAGCACAGCAGTGCTCACGCACCGGGAGGCTGTCACTGGGCGACAGCCTGGGTGGCGGCAGCTGGGGACTGGCAGGGTCAGGGCTGCTCCAAGCCCTGACTGGGCTGGGTGGACAGGCCCAACGTCCTGTCCCAGCAACGTGGCCGCCCAAGCGCCGGTGCCCGGCTGGGCAGAGGCCAGGTCCTTGCCAGTGCTTGTGGCACAAGGTGTAAAAGAAGCTGAAGTGCTGTGCACAGTGGGGTGCACAGTGGGGTGCCCAGCCTCTGTGGCCAAGGACTCGCTGCCCCCCCTCTGCAGCCTTTAAATCTCTTCCTGCCAGCCTCCAGCGAGCCAGAGGGGGCCCAGTCCCCAGGCGTCTCCTCGGGTGGGTTCGGCCACACCCCGCGTTCCCGGATTCCTGCCTGTGCATTCCTGAGAGGTATGGGGCGCTGGGAGAACTCGGGGCACTCTGCTGCCCCTGCAGTGCCCCTGCAGCCAGCTGGAACCCGGGCCGCAGCCCCCTCCTGCAACCCGCCGGCCTCGCAGTGGGCGTCCTTTGAGCCGCACTGGTCTCGGCGCGCCTCGTCAGCCAACACCCGCGCCGCACCCCAGTTCTCTCTCAGCCAGCGCCTGAAGGAAGGACGCGAGAGCTGGGCCCGCGGAGCGCAAGGGCCGCGGCCCGGGCGGCGACTCACCCAGCGAGCCGAGCAGCGCGAGGGTCTCCAGCGTCACGGCGCGGTGCAGGCGCCGCTGCGGCGCGCTCAGGAGCCCCCACTCGTCCCGCGAGAAGCGCACCGCCACGTCCTCGAAGGCCACCGCGCCCTGCAGCGACCAGTGC